CCTTGGGAGCCTGCTTCTCCCTCTGCCTCTCTCTCTCTCTCTCTCTGTCTCTCACGAATAAATAAATAAAATCTTAAAAAAATAAAAAAAATAAAATAAAAAATAAATAAAAATCTTGTAAGAGAAGGATATGCTCATTATAGAAAATTTGGAAACTACTTAAGGATTGAATTTTTTAAATCACCCATTTTCCCATTCCCTAGGGATAGTCATTGTTGGTATTTTGATCTATTTCCTTCTGACTTCTTTTTGGGGGGGGTGTGATGCTTTTAAAACTTCACATAGTGATTATCCTATAGTATATAGAGAGCTACATATTCTTTTTCTTAAGATTTTATTTATTTGAGTGAGAGAGAAAAGCAGGCTCCCCTCTGGGCAGGGAGCCTGATGCAGGGCTCAATCCCAGGGTCCTGGGATCATGACCTGAGCTGAAGGCAGATGCTTAGTCGACTGAGCCACCTAGGCACCCCAAGAGTTACATGTTCTGATTGCAAGAAATGTTCTTTTGGTTTTGTTTATCCAGCAAGTATTTATTGAGCACCTACTATGTGCCAGGCACTATTCTAGACACTGATTATGGCACAGTGAACAAAATGACAAAAAGTTCTGCCTGCTTGGAGCTTCTATTCTGGCAGAGGGAAACAATAAACAATAAGCCTAATAAACACATAAATTATAGAGTATATTAAAAAGTGAAAAGTGGTGTGGATAAAAAGAAAAAGTACAGCAGGTAAAGAGGGGTTCTGGAGCCAAATGAGGGCATGGGAAGTTGAAAAGCTAAGATTTGAGCAGACTTGTAGGTGAGGGAATAAGCAATGCAGATCTCTGGGGGATGAATGTTCCAGGCAGAAGAAACAGCAAGTGCAAAGGTCCTGACTCAGGAAAGGTGCCCATTTATAGTACTGGGACCATTCTAGACTGTTCATACTGTTTTGAAACTTTCCCCCCGCCAAAATTCATCATAGACACCTCCCAACATCTTCTATGTTCTTTTTAATGGCTTCTGGAGACCCTGGATGCTCTGTAGTAGAATCATAAGCTACTTCTTAAAAATGCAGATTCCCCAAATTCTATCCCATACTTACAAACCTAGATTCTCTGAGAATGGGCTAGGAATCTGAATTTTTAACCGTATTTTTATTTGAGACCCATTCCCCTCATGATATGAATGTGCCATCATTGATCTAACTGATCCACTATCAGTAGACATTTAGGTTGTCTCTAACTGGGGGCCATTATAAGTAATAACATGACAGACAGCCTTGAGCAGCCACTTTGCCCACATGTCCTACTATTTCCATGGGACAGATTCCTAGAGATGAAATTACTCAAAAGGTAGCCTTTTCTATTTGGACACATTGTTCTAGCCCTAGGGGTTCTTGAATCTGGTCCCTGGAGCAACAGTAGCAGCAGCTCCCGGGAACTTTTGGGAAATGCACATTCCTGGGCCCCACCCAGAACTACTGGCCCAGAACCTCTGGGACAGGGGCCCAGCAATCTGTGTTTTCACAAACCTCCAGATGGTTCTGATTCATGCTAGAATTTGATAACCCCTGCTCTGGAGCTGCCTTGCATTCATTATAGTAGCACTAGCCATGTGTGGCTATTTAAGTGTAAATTCATTTAAATTAAGTAAAATTGAAAATTAGTTCCTCGGCGGCACTAGCCACACTTCGAGTGCTCAGTACCTATGAGGGGCTGGTGGCTGCAGGACTGGGTGGTGCTGAGATAACTCTGCCACCATTACCGTTCTATTGACTGTGCTGTTCTAGACAATTCTCCAAAAAGGATGAACCTCCCACCCACCCATGCCCTCATCCTCCTTTTAATTAAGAAACATCAGGGGCACCTGGGTGCACAGTCATTTAAGCGTCCGACTCTTGATTTCGGCTCAGGTCGTGATCTCAGGGTCCTGGGTTTGAGACCTGAGTCACATTGGACTCTGTGCTCAGTGGGGAGTCTGCTTGAGATTCTCTCTCTCTCCATCTGCCCTTCCTCTCTCTCTCTCTTTCTAAAATAAAAATAAATAAACCTTAAAAAAAAGAGAGGAAGACATCAGAAAGAAGAGGGGCATAAGAGGAGCCCAGGGATTTGGGGGCTCTCAAAACAGATAATTTAAATCCTCATCATCTCCTCAAGGCACAGGCTTAGTTTTAGGTGTGGTGGGAGGGGAGCACCCACTTTTCCTTATGGTCTGGTTCTCTCATGAACAGGATGAGATCATCTTCTTGCGATCCCAGCAGAACTCATCCCATGATGACAACCACTCCGTCCTGAGAGAGATGGAGGTAAGACCGGGGTGGGGAGGGAGGGACATGGGAGTCTCTGTTGTCTGTCTGTCTGTCTGTTCATCAGGCAGCCTGTCTGGTGGTTCTCGAGAGGAGAATATGGTATCTGCCTGATGAGACTCTATTGGCCTGGCTCGTGTACTGACATGTCCTGAGCCTTCGTCTCGGGCCACCTCCGCTACAAATACTGCTGCAGAGTTTTGTCCCTATAGCCTCTATGTCCATTTTAAAGACTCCCCGACTTCAGGGAGCCTAGCCCAGGCACTTGTGCCTATAACTTCGTCCCAGACAGAGCTCTGCCTCAGTATTTTTTTTTCTCTCCTCCTTGTCTGGCTGTGGCCTGCTCTCAATCAATAACAGTTATTATGAACATTTGTTGAGCAATTACTACATATCAGACACTGAGCTAAGCGCCTTGCTTGTACTATCTCATTTAATCCTCACAACAGCCCTATGAGGTAGGTGCTGTGATCTCTACATTGTACAGATGAGGAAACTGAGGTTCAGAGAGGTAAAGTCCCTTGACCAACATTATGGAGCTGGGATGCTGTATAAGAGCTTTGCATTGTATTTAGTTGCTAATCACAAGGAACCAAAGTAACAATGGCTTAAGCAAGGTAGAATTATTTACTTTTAGGAAATAAGGTTGGAGGGGCGCCTGGGTGGCTCAGTCGTTAAGCGTCTGCCTTTGGCTCAGGTCATGATCCCAGGGTTCTGGGATCGAGCCCCGCATCCGGCTCCCTGCT